GGAGTGAAAGCAAAGGTAATGATCATTCCCATGAGATCAGCTGTTCCTTCCACATACATGTCAATTCTGGAGGCAGGGGAGAGAAGAAAGCATGTTCAAATTATTTCAGGTTTTTCTTGCAAATTAGTAAAAGCATTTTTTTATGATCCATTAATGTTTGTATAATCGGCTTTTGTGTTATACGATAGCGCTGTTAAAATTTCACTGTTGCATTCATGCCTTGCTCCCTTTCTAATGACAATGCAGACATGCAAGCAACGTTTTTCTGGTGAGTGGTTCTTCTTATTCATTTATTTTTGCTGTTAAAGTAAACCTATTACTTATCAAAGATTCTGGGTTAACAGCCCTGGAAGCTCAGGTCCTTTTCATCCACAGAACCAGTGTTGTCAGGTAACGGCAGCAAAACCATTATAGTACAGAACAAGCTATGACTGCTCTGCCTGTAAGAAGTTTCACCCACAGCAAAACTGCAAATACTTGGAATTCTTTACTATTGGTTTTGCAATCCCAATTTACTCAGCAAAACACAATACAAAACAAAAATAAGACAACACTAAGGGCCTGATCCTGTTCAGCATAATTTCAGAAACAATGGTTAAAACCCATCAAGGGCCAAAGAATTTGCCCCTTAGTGCATAACAGCTTTTTCTCACCCTTTCATACTCAACTTACAGTATTACATAAGTGTTAACTGGTAATAATATAGCTATTCATTGTAGTTTATTAAGCAAAAGGGAGTGTTATAGTACAATGCTCTCTCTTTCAGATCCTTCCCATAGAGGTTGTACTTGGCAGCTATGTAGCTGAGAATGGCTCTGGTCTGCACCATCTTCATCCCATCAATTTCCACCAATGGTACTTGGTCAAACAGCAGGACGCCATCTTTGGAAAGGAAAATACAATAAGTATAATGTTACTTAGGCCGGATCTATACTTAAAAGTTAGGTCAGCATGGCTATAGCACTCAGAGGTGTGAAAACATCACACCCCTGAGCACCATGACTATGCCAATCTAACCCCTGGGCACACAGGGTCAGGGTAGCCCCAAATGTAGGCAGCATGGGATGTTCTGATTTAGCCCATCTCCTGATGTTTCCATCATCCTAGGTACTGAGATGAAGTTCCTACAGTGACAGAAAAATCCCTTCCATTAGTGTAGGAGGCACCTATACTACGGCGCTACAGCAGCATAATTACAGCACCGTAGCTGTGCCACTGTAGCATCTGTAGTGGCCTCGGTCCCCATCCCCTCCCCCAACTGTGTTATTGTTATAGTGGAGCTGAGAAAAATATCTAAGTCGTTAGTACACTTCTGATTGTATATTAGGAGATCTTCAACGTCTGCCATTATATTAAAACTTCCTGCACTAAAATAATGATGTAGGAAAGAATAAACATATACTAGTCTAAATATTTACTCTGTAGCTAAGACCTAGCATAATCAATTGACACATTGCTTTACAAACATATAGTCAGATATTCCCTCCCCAAAGGGCTTCCAATTTTAATTAAACTATATATGTAGACTATGCTCCAAGAGCTTAGTTCTGCCCCCTCTGAAGTCAATGGCAAAGCTCCCTTTGAATTAAAAGATACAGGATTAAGCCCCAAATAGGCATGTGTGCTACTGTACCTACTAATAGACAGCATTTGATCTAAGTCCCTTTTTGTTTGCTTTAGTTGCCTGATTTCAATCCATTAACTTCATTCTTCTTCTCAGTAGAAAAGATTATTTTAACAGGAGTTTGTCTGCTCTGTTTTCCACAAAACCATCAAACTATGTCAGTAGCCTAAAATAAAAAAAAGGTCCTTCCATTGTTGCGAAGTGTTTAATTTCATAGTGCAATAAAATTGTGTAGAACTGTCCACATCATCATTTTTTGGTAAACATTTATATAAAGATTGTGTGTCCTCATGACTGTCCAAGAGCAAATGTGACCAGATTAGGGGATAAATAAGCATTTAGCAAAAATGTCCTTTTCTAGCAGAAGCCTTTTCATTGATAAAAAACAAAATTCATTAACAAGTATGCAAGGGCTGGGAGGGAGGGGGGTTACCATCAGAAACATGTACTAAGATAAAAGCTTATTAATGGCTGGATTTTCTAGCCACACCTTGCAAAGAGTTCCCTGGCAGGTCAGTTGCACTGAGCATTAGTAAACTGAAAGAGCAATTCGTTTCTAAGGACTTGTCTATACTTGAAATGCTGCTGCAGCTGCACTGTTGTAGCGCTACCTACGCCTATGGGAGGGGTTCTGTAGGTAATCCCGTTGCTGTAGGTAATCCACCTCCCTGAGAAGTGGTAGCCAAGTCAACAGAACAATTTTTCCATCGACCTAGTGCTGTCCACCCCGGGGGTTAGGTCAGCTTAACTGCTTTGATCAAGGGCGTAGATTTTTCACACTCCTGAGCAACGAAGCTGGGTCAACCTAACGGTCGACCAGGCCTTAATAGCAAAAGTAGTAAGGCCATGTCTGCACTACCACATATGTCGGCAAAATTTATGTTGCTCAGGGGTGTAAAAAAAAACCACACATACCTTGTGCAATTTAAGTTTTGCTAGCATAAGTGGTAGTGTGCACAGCCTTATGACTGGAGGAGAGCCTCTCCTGCTGACATAGCTACTGTCGCTCGTAGAGGTGGTTTTATTATGTCAACGGGAGAGCTCTCTCCCACTGGCATAGAGCGGCTACACAAGCAATCTTACAGCAGTGCAGCTGCATCAGTATAGTTGTGCCGCTGTAAGATCGCTTGTGTTGACATGGCCTAATTTATCCTTAATAACAAGCTATTAGCTCAAGTGAGATTTGTGATACACAGACAATTGTTGACCCTCCCAGCTTTTACTGGGAAAAGCCATGACTGTCCTTTAAATAACTAGAAGCTACATATAGGCAAACAGGTTTGGTTAAGTACCAGTCTAAATGTTTGCCCAAAATATGAACCAAATGTGGTGCATTAAAAACTGTTAAAATTGTAACACTAACACTTTAAGAGTAAGGGTTTTCCTGGTCTGACCTGCAGGCTACAGGGATCTATAGGGAAGCCTGAGATTAGAGTCAGTTTTGCAGACAGTTAGCTTAGCCCTAGAGTAAGGTGGAGTGAGTTGTGCTTCTTTGTTTTAGGGAGCAGCCTGCTTTGTCTCTTTCAAGTTTGGGATTTTTATGTGTTATTATTCTGAATTCTAAGAAATAAAGTTATACTGCAACTTGGCAGGAAGAGTATGTTTTTATCAGACTTCGCTGTGTGTTTGCTGTGAACATAATACCAAACCCAAACCCAAACTTTAAGGTTCAATAAAGTTAATTGAAAAATAATTGACACAAGGTACGTCTACACAGTAAAAGAAAACCTATGGCAGCAAATCTCAGAGCCCAGTCAACTGATTTTTGTTCACAGGGCTCGTGTTGCAGTGCTAAAAAATATCAGTGTAGATGTTTGGGTTTGGGCTGGATCCCAGGCCCCAAGACTCTCCCCCATCACTACGTTTCAGAGCTTGAGCTCGAGCCTGAGAACAAATATCTATACTGCTATGTGTAGCCTGGCAGTGCAGGCTCTGAGACTTGCTCTGCAGCGTATTTTTGCTGTGTAGGAGTACCCCCAGGTGCCTAATCTGTAACTGACAAACCTATTTAAACATACCTTCTGACCTGGACAAATCCCTACACACCCAAGCCACTGAAACAAAAGCCTACAGTCAACTGCCATATCACTCAACACTGAACTAGCTATACCAAGAAAATAGGATATGCTTAAATATAAACTCTTATTACAAGGTAAATATATGCCTGCTTTCAGGGAGTATGGCAGTTGAGCTCAGTGCATTAAGACAAGAATCATTCTTGCACCGTGGGAAGTTATTGAGATACTCCTTTATGAGCATTCATTTATATTCCGAGACTTAAATAATACCTACTGTATCAGCCCTCTTTTAATACCAAAGAATACCTCTGTGTTAGTCCTCAGTATAACAAATACATGAGTGACGGGTGGGATCAGAACGCTAAACAAGAGGGGACAAATTCAAACCCGTTCTTACTTCCTACAATGTACAAGATAAAAGCCAAACACACATCCAAGGTTGCAGGAAGGTGGGAAAAAAAATCATGAGGGAGGAGAAAAAGGGGGCTTTTACCAGTCAGTCCATAACCTGTAAGGAAAGCTCTACGCCAGGCTCCACTTCTTGATTCTGATGACCTACAAATCTCTCTCTCTCATGATGAACTATCTCCCTTCAACCAATCTAGTAGTGTAGCCTGTCTTTCTGGATTTTTAGTCATAATCTTTAACTCACTGTTTAACAATGGTTAAGCGTTAACAAAATGTTAAACTCAGCTGAGCTCTTGATCTTCCTCCACAAGCCCTCCCCATCTCACCATGAACATTGTTACCATTCTCCCAGTCACTTGGGCCAGTAATATGAACTATAATGTGGCCCTCCCACTGGATCCCCATACTCAAGCCATTTCTAATTCTTGCCACTCCTTCTTACACAACATCTCTAAACTCAAGTATCGGGGGTAGCCGTGTTAGTCTGTATCTACAAAAACAACAAGGAGTCTGGTGGCACCTTAAAGACTAACAGATTTATTTGTGCTTAAGCTTTTGTGGGTAAAAACCTCACTTCTTCTATGCATCTGAAGAAGTGAGGTTTTTAC